TGAAATAAATCTTGTAGTTTGTGGTATTTGATCAGGTCGACCATGTAAATGATTGAGATAGTCGTTATAATGTCAACATTGTGATCAATATCCATTATATGAGATTGGAAAGAATTTGTAATCTTGTTTATTCCACCTTTTTGCTAGTCATACTGATAGATGTTTGTTTCAATAGAATTCTCATAGTTTTTCAAAAACAGCTCGTTATCACAGAAGCAGTTGAATTCAGGTTATTATTATTATTTGTCCCTTTGGTCCCTAGTGGAATAGCATGTCTCCAGTGCACTCTGTTCTCTAAAATCTTTTAAACCTGGCTCCAAGACTCCCCACAAGCTCTCATTTCTTCCTCACACACGATCTCCTTCATGTCACCCTCAACTAGGACGCCCAATCCGCCGTTTCCCAAGCGGGTTCCACTCGAGTAACTGGCCTGGCACGTGATGCCTCCGAATGGTCTTCTCAGTACATGCTCAATCAATCTCCACTTCCACTCACTTCTGCATATTTGTTTAGCGATAGGTTGTTGCCAGTCAGAGTTCCTGGTTGCTTATTCTTTCTGACCATCTGAACTTCAGTATGGAGTGGGCATAGGTGAGAGCTGTTGATGAATATCTGTAGTTTGTTGGGAATGCCTTTTGTAACGTATCAAGTTTCTGAAGCATCACATAGCAGCACTGACTTAAGTGGATTGGTGTTGGTAATCCGGATCTTGTTCACGCTTTATGCTGAGTGCAGTAGATCTCCACACTGATTTCAGGTTAATGAACACCTGTTTTGTTATCTTTCCGATCGTGCCTAGCTCTGACATCCTCATCTGTGTCGTCACCTGTAGTTGAAACGATGCTGCCCTACCTAAATAGGTGAAAGAGACCACTTGCTTTAAGTTTCTTCCATTCATAGTGATTGCAGCTTGTTGTTGTTGGTGGTGGTGGTGGTGGTGTTGGTTGGGTATCATCATCACCTCTGTCTTCTCTCCCTTCACTTGAAGTCCAGTCTTCACTGCCTCACCTTTTCTATCAACTTGTCAGTTTACGCCTGTAGATCTTCAAGTTTGTGCGACATCAGACACAAGTCATCATTGTCTGCGAAATCCAAATGTTGTAGGATGTTTTCCGTGGTCCATCCAGTGTATCCCTCACTTCTTGCTCCTCTTTGTTTGTTGAGTGAGCCAGTCGACGACAATGAGGAATGTCATGGGTGTTAGTAGGCAGCAGCCTTGTGTTACTCCTGTCTGCCTACCAAATTACTTCATCGGTCGACACTGTCGTTATAATGTCAACATTGTGATCAATATCCATTATATGAGATTGGAAAGAATTTGTAATCTTGTTTATTTCGCCTTTTTGCTAGTCATACTGATAGATGTTTGTTTCACTGGGGTTTAAATAGTTTGTCGTAAACAACTGATTATCATATCCTGGACATACAAGAGATCCTATCTTTCAGACATTGTAGTGAAATATATCTAGTGTTTAATGTCAACTTGAGACTGACTGCTAGATTTCGGCTAGATTATCATCTTCGAATGAATGGTCAATGAATATTTACTTCTCATCATAGGTGGAGTAGACCAAAGTTCTTCATTCTTTGTACCATTATTCTTCTGAATAAAATTGTCGGTGTATCCATTCTCTCCATCTGTCTGTCTGGGAAGGGTAAATCGTTGACGTCTAATCTACCTAACTCGGGGAATTGAACACTTCGTTACTACTTACACTAATAAGTAGTATAATCCAACAGTTTATATACATATATACATACACACAGATATAAGATGCATAGTATTAGAAGAAATCAGACAACTATATAAAGAAGCTGAATGTAATTATATTGTATATTTCCCAAGAGATTACGCAACTTACTTAATTACTTATTTATTTATTTATTTATTTATTCACCTATCCTTTGAATCGTCTCATTCAGACATTGAATATTGAATACAACAGAAGTAAATCTTTTTCATGAGTTTAAAGTGTAAGAAAGAAACAAGAAAAGAAGAAAAATAGAGAAAAACTGCCGTTTTTTTTCCTTCTTCTAATGTGTGTTAACAGTCAACAGTAAACTAAGTTATCCCAAGAGTTAGTTTTTGCCGTTGTTATTGTTGTTTTTCAAAAAAACAAACGAAATAAAGGTAGGTAGGTAAAAGAATGAACTAGTTTACAGACGATTTATTACAAGTCTATATACGACTGAATACTACGTCTCAGACAGGTTGGGTGGTCTATACATTTTTATATCATATCTTAAAATAGACTGAAATATATCTGAATCTATGCATAGTTAAATAGATAATTCGATGAAATTAAGATGAATTCTAATCTGCTTTATATTTATCTTGGAATCTAGCCTAACATATGTTTCGGCCTATTTGGGACTCATCAGCTGGATGTACTTGCTCCCCCGCCCCCGCCCTAACAAACTTGGAACCCTGAATCTGGCTCCACCACCCTGCATAAGCTTCTATTTCCTTCTCACACCATCTTTTCCATGTCACCCTTGACTCAGACACCCAGCTGGCCATTACCCATTTGGGTTCCACTCGTGGGCATCTCCTAGCACACAGTGTCCCCAAATGGTCTTCACAGTGTATGTCCAATACAATACAATCCATCTACACTTCCTCCTTCTGCATATTTCTTGGACAACAGGTTGTTGGTTAGTTGGTTCATTGACAGACCACAATGAGTTCCTCCTTACTTTTTCTTATGATTCTGACCATCTGATCTGACCTTAAGTATCGAGTGAGCATAGGCGTTAGCTGTTCATGTATGTCTGGAGTTTGTTGGAAATGCTTTTTGTAGTGCACCAATTCTCTCAACCATCACATAGAAGCAGTGACTTGAATGACTGAGTGTTGACAATCTGGATGTTGTTCACGCTTTATGCTGTGTAGTGTAGTGTAGTGCAGTGCAGTAGATTTCCACACTGATCTCTACAGATTAATGAAGGTCTGTCTTGCTGTTTTTCCGATGCTGTCTGACTTTGACATGTTCATGTATGCCTGTGCCTCCTTTAGTCGAAATGATGCTGTCTAGGTAGGTAGATCGGTAGGTAGGTGTGTGGGTAGGGTAGTAGGTAGGTAGTAGGTAGGTAGGTAGGTAGGTAGGTAGGTAGGTAGGTAGGTAGGTAGGTAGGTAGGGAGGGAGGGAGGGAGGGAGGGAGGGAGGGAGGTGAAAGAGCCTACTTCCTTTAGATTTCTCCTGGTGATGATGATTGGTGGTTGTTGGTTGGGTATCTTCATCACCTCTGTCTTCTCTACATTCACCTGAAGGAAGTCTCATCTTCGCTGCCTATTCGCTAACTATTCTGCTAACTTGTTAGTTTTCAAATGTACATCATCTAGTTTGTTTGACATAAGACATTAGACATAAATCATCATTGGTGAAATCTAATTCTCTTAAGGTATTTTTATCGTTCATACAGTGAATGACGATCTTCTTGCTTCTCACAGTTTGTTGCATGATCCAGTCAAGTCCAGTCCAGTCAACCACAATCAAGAAAATGATCGGTGATTGTAGGCGATAGTCTTGTCTTACTCATCAACCTATCTTCATTTAAAGGCGTGATTGACCTTTCTATTGTCAATCACTTGGCATGTAACCTCATCATAAAGCATATAGCTACTATTGAATGAGGTTGATAAACGTTTGTGGTAGTAAAACCTGTAGTGTTGAAGTATCTGCCGGTTAAATTACCTCTCAGTTGATGCTATCGAAGATTTTTTGAAAGTTGATGAGGTTGTGATGATGAATTATTTATTTATTATTTATTAGTCCCTTGGGTTCCCAGTGGAACATAGGGCTTCACTAGCACGCCTCCAGTGACCACTGTTCTCTGAGATCTTTTGAACCTGGTCCCACGACAGCCCACAAGCTCTCATTTCCTCCTCGCACGATCTCCTCCATGTCACCCTCACATCGGACGTCCAACTCGTCGCTTCCCATGTGGATTCCACTCGAACATCTGGCATGACGCGTCATCTCCTCAGTCGGCCTTCTCAGTGTATGCCCAATCCATCTCCACTTCCTTCCACTGCATATTTGTTGGGTGATAGGTTCTTGGTTGGTTCGTTCCCAGAGTTCCTTGTTGCTTATTCTTTCTGGCCATCTGATCTCCAGTAGCGAGCCAGTGTAAGCAGTTGTTGATGAATGTCTGTAGTTTGTTGGAAATGCTTTTCGTAACGCGGCAAGTCTCTGAACCATACAAGAGCAGTGACTTGACTGGGTTGGTGTTGAAAATCCGTATCTTGTTCCACATGTTGAGTGCAGAAGATCTCCAAACTGGTTTCAGGCTAATGAACGCCTGTCTTGCTTTTCCGATTCTGACTTTGACGTCCTCGTCTGTGCCTGTGCCACCTGTACTTGAAACAGTGCTTCCCAGATAGGTGAAGGAGGTTACTTCCTTTAAGTTTCTCCCGTTGATGGTGATTGGAGTTTGTTGTTGTTGATGGTGGTGGTGGTGCGGTATCTTCATCACTTCTGTCTTCTCTATATTCACCTGGAGTCCCGTCTTAGCTGCCTCTTCTATCAACTTGTTAGTTTTTGCCTGCAGATCTTCAAGTTTATGTGACATTAGGCACAAGTCACCGGCGAAATCCAAGTCTTCTAGGTTCTTTTCCGCCGTCCAGTGTATCCCCCTCTTCTTGCTGCCTACTGTTTGCTGCATGATCCAACCCAGTCGACCACAATCAGGAATATCATGGGTGGTAGTAGGTGGCAACCTTGTTTCACTCCTGTCTTCACTTCAAAAGCATCACTGAGCTTCCCATTGTGAATTACTTGGCATGTGGCATCTTCATATAGTTGTTGAATGAGGTGGATAAAGGTTTGCGGTACTCCGTAGTATTGAAGCAGTTTCCAAATTACCTCTTGGTCGACGCTGTCAAAAGCCTTCTCAAAGTCGATGAAGTTGAGGCAGAGAGCTGATTGCCAAATAAAATTTGATTAAATCATGTTAACTTTTCTCTATTTTTTGCTTCTTTTTTTTTCCATACCTTATAGAAAATATTCCATCTATACTTGATGATTGGAGTAAACATTTCGCAAAATTCTCATCATTATTATAATTGTCAACTGTAAGACAATATTAACTAATGAATAAGTTACCCTTATGAAATAGACAAATAAAGTCAAGATTACTCTTTTAACAGTTGACATTGAAAAACAACAAGAAAACACCATCGAAATGAAACTAAAAGAAAATGAAAACAGTTTATGTAAAACAAAGCAAAACTTTGAAAAAAAAATACACAATATATATATATATATGTTGTCTTGATGAACTATAGAATGATATAAAGAAAATGTTGACAGAATAAATTTTTCATGCAACTTCATTGTTGTTCATTGTTTGGTTATTGTACAGTTCTCATGATGTCATAGTCACCATTATTACTATTATTATAATATTATTATTTGTCCCTTGGGTTCCTAGTCGAACATAGGATTCAGTAGCACATACACATCTCACTCTCTTCTCTCCAGTCTCTTCAACCTCGTTACACGAATAGTTGTAAGCTTTCATTTCTTCCTCACACACAATGTCCCGTATGGTCTTCACAGTGTATGTCCAATACAATACAATCCATCTACACTTCCTCCTTATGCATATTTCTTGGACGACAAGTTGTTGGTTAGTTGGTTCATCAACAGGCCACAATGAGTTCCTCCTCGCTTTTTCTTATGATTCTGGTCATCTGATCTGATCTTCAGTATCCAGTGAGCGTAAGCAGTAGCTGTTGATGAATATCTGTAGTTTGTTGAAAATGCTCTTCGTATCTCGTTAAGTCTCTGAGCCATAGTGAAGCACTGACTTGACTGGATTGGTGTTGAAAATCCGAATGTTGTTTACGCTTTGTGCTGAGTGCAGATGATCTCCACACTGGTTTCACATTAATGCAGGAAGGCCTATCTTGCTTTTCCGATCGTGGCTGGCTTTGACGTCCTCGTCTATGCCGCCGACGCCTGTAGTTGAAACGATGCTGCCCTACCTAAATAGGTGAAAGAGACCACTTGCTTTAAGTTTCTTCCATTCATAGTGATTGCAGCTTGTTGTTGTTGGTGGTGGTGGTGGTGGTGTTGGTTGGGTATCATCATCACCTCTGTTTCTCTCCCTTCACTTGAAGTCCAGTCTTCACTGCCTCACCTTTTCTATCAACTTGTCAGTTTACGCCTGTAGATCTTCAAGTTTGTGCGACATCAGACACAAGTCATCATTGTTGGCGGAATCCAAATGTTGTAGGATGTTTTCCGTGGTCCATCCAGTGTATCCCTCACTTCTTGCTCCTCTTTGTTTGTTGAGTGAGCCAGTCGACGACAATGAGGAATGTCATGGGTGTTAGTAGGCAGCAGCCTTGTCTTACTCCTGTCTTCGCTTCAAAAGCATCAATGAGCTTCCCACTGTGAATTACTTGGTATGTGGTATTATATAGTTATAATATTATTTGTCCATTGGGTTCCTAATGGAACAGATGCTTCAGTAGCACGTCTCCATTCCACTCTCTTCTCTACAATCTTTTGAACCTAGCTCCATGACAGCCCAGTAGCTCTCATTTCTTCCTTACACACCATCTCCTCCATGTCACACTCGCCTCGGACGCCCAACTTATCGTTTCCCATGCGGGTTCCACTCGACGCCCTGGCTTGATGCGTGGTGTTCCCGAACGGTCTTCTTAGTGCATGTCCAATGCATCTGCATTTCTTCCAGCTTATTTATTGGGTGATAGGTTTCTTGGTTGGTTGGCTGCCAGTCAGAGATCCCTGTCGCTCATTATTTCTGGCAATCTCATCTTCATTATGGAGTGATCGTAGATGGCAGCTGTTGATGTATGATGTCTGTAGTTTGTCAGAAATGCCTTTCATAGCGGGCCAAACCATCATTACTATTGTGACTGATACTTCTTCATATGTCTTACTATTGTATACTATGTTCTTAGAGAGATTCTTTGCAAGAGTATTGAAAAAAATTTGAAGGTTTGCAGGGATTGATTGATTTCAAGTTGACATTCATCATGTATGACTGATATTAGTTGAAGGGATACTGGAAATCTCGCAGCAATGGAGAGAGACATACTTTGTCCTAGTTCGTAACTTTTCAGCAGTAAGCACCAATCACCCCTGCCAGTGGGGCAAACTTCATGGATCTATGAACAAATACTCAACAATGACATTGTGTGATGGTTATGTTATGTAGGTAGGAGGTGACTCAGCATCTAAGCCATGTAAGTTGACTAAGGTTCACAACATCAATCCAGTTGTCTGTCTTGTCTGGTACCCTTCGCTTGTCCTCAAAATTAATCGCACAGCAATTCCGTCAAACACCAGCAGTCGTGTGAAGACACATATGATCAAAACTTTGTAATCGCTTCATATTGTCTACTTTCAACAGGTATGTCTCATAGGTATACAACAGGATGGGACAGATTACCCCACAGGACGAGTGACTGTATAATGGCTAAATGTCTAGGCCAGTCATATCTATGGACTGCTGAGGAGTTATATCCTGTGAAACACAGCAATCCATAAATCATATTGCTTTCCTATTTTTACCAACTAAGTTAATAATGTAATCGTTTGTATCGCTGATAAGTTATTCAGGTGTAAACTATGTCCTAATTGGTATAAATTGCATGATTTCGTGCATATATATATATATATATATATATATATATATATATATATATATAACGTCGACAACAATACGCAAGAGACTGTCGGATTCATTGAAAAGGCATGACATATGCCATCAACATCTGTGATCAGAAGAAAACAACTATGGATACAAACTCAAGGTCATTATTAATTAATTATTTAGTCTGGTTTGGATCACTAGTTAACCCTTTATTTTTTAGTTTACTCAACCGGTCGTTAGTACAATCTCATTTCTCATTCTTCCTTATTGACAATAATCACATAAAGATGAAGGCTAAAATTAGTCAAAATAAAGAGGATATATCTTTGATTTTCGGTGAGAATATTTATCTTTCGATTAAAACTTACATCAGTGCTATAATTGGTCTAATTAGTTTTCAGTTAGATATATCATTTGGAGGAATACTGGACAACAACTTTATCTTGGCATATAATTCCTCAGCAGTGTGCACCCATGACCTTGCCCTTTAGAAGTTGAACACAGGATCTTCAGGTTCTGTGACCAGCTCGTTACCATTGAGCTTCTAGCTACTGGGTTGCAATAAAATGGTTCATGTTGTCAACATCTGTCAGTTCAGGATATAGCGTAGTCGATGATGAATATCAACTTGTAATCAATTAATCCCCACAAATCCGAAAACTGAATAAATGATTTTTTAATTCAGCTGAAACTAAGATTTCAGTAAAGCTGTCATCCATTCATCTATCCATCGAAATCAACATAGGACCAGGCATTACTGCGTATCGCTCCGAGTTTCCACACCTCATATCAGTACATCCAGTAAAAAGGCAGTGAACTGGAAGATGAAGATAAGAGAATGCAGTCAAAAGAAATACAAAGTAAGAGAAGAGAGAAAGGAAGACTGAGAAAATGGTGAGATTCAGTATAGGATCGTTAAGATGAGGATAATGTGTATGGGTGTACATCTGTGCCACTGACATCGGTTCTCAGCCATATCGCCCAGATTCTTCAACAGCTCGTTTGTCGTTTCTTTTGTCCCACAGACCCCAACCGGCTAGTCTACATCACTCTACATGGCTCAAACCAACAGTAAAAGACGTCCCTAAAACTCTACTCCTGACTTCTGAGTTACGAATGTGATGACACCAAGGAATACGGCCTATACTACGAACATCTGAAGTCTTCTAATGTCTTCCACCTTCAATGGCCATGTTTCACTGTCTTACAGTAGAATAGAGTTGACTGCTGTGCAGTAGATGCCAAAAGTGGAGTATGTTGACATAAATCAACCGAGTCCTTTGTATTCATGAAGAGATTTCATCGGTCACTAAGCCACCTGAGCTGATTCTACTTCTCAGGTAAGTGAAGTGGTCAACATACTCAATCACTACACTCTCTATTGTTTAGTAAGGCTGTCAGGTATATTTAGTTGAAGTTAGAGTTGAATGAATCACCAATAAAACCAATTAGTTTCAATTAATTTGTTAGAATAATCTCCTATTATTGCGTATTAGATTTTATCACAATCTCTGTTTATTTCTTGGCAAGTTTCTTCATCAGTAGACCTTGGCTAGTGTTGACCATTTAACACTGAATAGCTAAACAGTTTCTTGACTAGTGAATGATTCGTGTGCATAGTCCAATAGTGACCGGAATAGCTTCAACATTTCAACACTAGGTGGCCTTAAGGCAACATGAATTTCATCTTGACTGGAGAATCGTCTAACTATTCAGTTTCAAGACGTACAAAATTTACCTGAAATAGCATTTTCTACTGGTTAACTCTTTCCACTAATCATCAAAGTCTCTTAACCGTTTATGGTGACTAAAATGCCATTCCAAAGCTAGACAGTTTTGTATATATATATATATATATATATATATATATATATATATATATATATATTATTATTATTATTATTATTATTATCATTATTAGTCCCTTGGGTTCCTAGTGGAACATACCGCTTCAGTAGCACGTCTCCAGTGACCTCTGTTCTCTGAGATCTTTTCAACCTGGTTCCACGACAGCCCACAAGCTCTCATTTCCTCTTCGCACGACCTCCTCCATGTCACATCGGACGTCCAACTCGTCGCTTCCCATGGGGATTCCACTCGAGGGCCTGACGCGTGATGTCCCCAGTCGGCCTTCTCAGTGCATGGCCAATCCATCTCCACTTCTTCCTGCATATTTGTTGCGTGATAGGTTCTTGGTTGGTTCGTTCCCAGAGTATATATATATATATATATATATATATATATATATATATTACATTCAGGAAGTATGTGGTTTTCTGGTACGTATTGAACGGTCTCAAACAACGCTAGCTCAATAATCATCCAGTGGACTACAGGTCAACATGGAATTCGTCTTATTCAGGACCCATCACCTACACTCCACTGAGTGATACTGTTATTAATTAGAATTGAGTCCAATATGTATCGCTACAAAAG